TCCCATAGATCTCTCTGTTGCCCCTCCAACAAGCCTCCTCTGTTGTCAGCATCCACACCACAGTCACGTTTGTTACAATTGATGAACCTACACTGACATATCATTGTCATCCAGAGTCCGTAGTGAACATCAGGGTTTACTCTTGGTGTTGTACATTCTATGGGTTTTATGGTAGAAAAACCCATTCTATGGGTCTCTAGTAGAAATGACACATATCTACCATTATAGTAACAAACAGAATACCTTCACTGCCCTAAAAGAATTCTCTGTGTTCTGCCTGTTCACCTCCCCTGCCCCCCACCAGCCACTGGCAACCACTGAACCTTTTACTGTCTCCATAGTTTTGCCTTTTCCAGAAAACCTTGTAGCTGGAATCATACAGTATGTATCCTTTTCACATCGGCTTCTTTCACTTAGTAATGTGCTCTTAAGTTTCCTCTATGTCTTTTCATGGCTTGATAGCTCATTTCTTTTTTGTGCTGAATAATATTCCATTGTCTGGATGTGCCACAGTTTATTCATCCATTCACCTACTGAAGGATGTCTTGATTGCTTCCAAATTTGAGCAGTTCTGTAGAAGATTGGTGACGTTTTTGTGACCAGAAATATGCCATAGAAACTAAGCTCATTTATGTCAAATAGCCTATAGTAAAATTGGTTTCATGTTGTGTTGATTTACTTAAAGTCGCAATTACCAAGAACCTGTCGACTATGTTGAGGTCAGGAGTTCTAGACCAGCCTGGGCAACAAGGTGAAACTCTGTCTCTACTAAAAAAAAAATATACAAAAATTAGCCAGGTATGGTGCCATGCACCTGTAGTCCTAGCTATTTGGGAGGCTGAGGCAGGAGAATTGCTTGGACCTGGGAGGCAGAGGCTGCAATGAGCTGAGATTGTGCCACTGCATTCCAGCCTGGGCAGCAGAGCGAGACTCAGTCTCAAAAAAAAGAAAGAAAAATGCATACTCAAAGTGTCTGCATCGTTTTGCATTCCTGTCATCAATGAGTGATGGTTTTTGTTGCTCCACATCCTCGTCAGCATTTGGTGTTGTCAGTGTTTTGAAATTCTTGCCATTCTGACAGGTGTGTAGTGGCATTTCCATTAATTCCCTAATGACATGATGTAGAGCATCTTTTCGTATGCTTGCCTGCTATGTCCATGTCTTTGGTGAAGTCTCCTTTTGGGTCTCTTAGCTCATTTCTTTTTCTTTTCTTTTCTTTTTTTTTTGAGCTGGCATCTCACTCTGTCACCAGGCTGGAGTGTGCAGTGGCACAATCTTGGCTCACTGCAACCTCCACCTCCCGGGTTCAAGCAATTCTTCCACCTCAGTATCCCAAATAGCTGGGACTACAGGTGCTCACCACCACACCTGGCTGATTTTTTTGTATTTTTAGTAGAGATGGGCTTTCACTGTATTGTCCAGGTTGGTCTCTAACTCCTGACCTTGTGATCTGCCTGTCTGGGCCTCCCAAAGTGCTAGGATTACAGGCGTGAGCCACTGCGCCCGGCCTTACTCATTTCTTAATCAGGCTGTTTGTTTTCTTATTGTTGAGTTTTAAGGGTTCTTGGTATATTGTAGATAACAGACCTTTTATCGAATATGTCTTTTACAAATATTTTCTCCGAGGTTGTGTCTTGTCTTATTCTCTTGATAAATTCAGTTTTTAAAATAGACATGCAGCTGTTCAATTTTTTCTTGTCTCAGTTTTGATACCTTTTGTCTAAGAATTTCCCGATTTTGTCTAGTTGTCAAATTTACTGGGGTAAAGTTATTTTTTTTTAATGTCTATGATGTCTCTTTGTTCATTTCTGATATTAATAATATGTGTTTTATCTTTTTTCTTGATTAGTTAGGGGTTTACCAACTTTATGATTTTCAAAGAACTAATTTTGTTTTATTTTTCTTAGTTGCTTTTTATTTTATTGGTTTCTGCTCTTGATTTCCTTTCTGTTAACATCAGGTTAATCTGTTCTTTTTTTTTTTTTTTTTTTTTACTGATATTTAAGATGGAAGCTTAGATCGTCGATTTTAGACCTTTTTTTCCTAATACAAGCACTTAAAGTTATAAATTTCTTCTTTTACGTACTGTATTAAGCATGTCATTCAGAAGTTGATGTTTCATTACAGGTAGGAGGATTGCTTCAGGCCAGGAGCTTGACACTGGCCTGGGCAACACAGTGAGAACTTGTCTCTACAAAAAATTTTTAAAAATTAGCTGGGCATGGTGGCACCAGACTATAGTCCTAGCTACTCAGGAGGCTGAGGTGGGAGGATTGGTTGGGCCTGGGAGGTTGAGGCTACAGTGAGTTATGATGGCACCACTGCACTCCAGGCTAGGTGCCAGAGTTGAGACTCTGTGTCTCTAAATAATAAATAAAATTTTAAAAATAAAATACCCAGAATTTATTACTGTCATCAGCAAGAGGGGCATTATCAGTATTTGTTTTTTTAGTATATTATTTCTCAACCACATGTTCTCTTTGAAAGCATTTTGACGGATTTGTTATTATACAATATAAACAGCTTATAGTTGGTGTGATTTGATGTGTAGAAATACTATCTTTAGAGATCGATCCAAGATGGCCGACCACTAACAGCTCAGGATTGTAGCTCCCAGTGAAAGCCCAGAGAACGAGACGACGCCACTCTTTTAGACAAAATTTCGTCACTCACCGATCAGCCGATTCCCAGTGGAGGAGCCCCACGGGTCGCCAGCGTGACTCTTGTGGCCGCCGCAGCGGTTTTGCCGGCGTCTCGGAGCAGCAGCTCTTCATGCAGAGCCAACGGGACTGCTTCCCCTATTGACCGGAGTTTGGAGCTCCGGGAAGTCAGCCGATTGTTGCGGACTCAAGAGGGAAGCCAGACCAGAGATTCCCGGGCAGAAGAGCACCATCAGTCTTACCGCTGCTATTTAGGCTGCCACAGTGGGTTGCTCGGATCCCAACACTGGGAATCAATAAGTCGGACGTCGACTCAGAAAACTAATTAGAAAGGCGGTTCATCTACAATGAAGGGAAAAAAACAGCCTAAGAAGGCCGAGTATACTCAAAATCGGAACCCATCAGCAACGGAACAAGCCCTGATGGAAAAGGACTCATCAGCAACCGAACAAGCCCTGATGGAAAAGGACTCATCAGTAACGGAACAAGCCCTGATGGAAAAGGACTGTGTTCCATTATCTGAAGTAGGCTTTAAAAGGTGGATGATAAGAAACTTCTGGGAGTTAAAGGAACTTGTTCTAACCCAATGTAAAGAAACTAAGAACTTGGAAAACAGGTTAGATGAAATGTTGAAAAGAATAGACAATATAGAGAGGAATACAAATGAACTTATGGAATTGAAAAATACAACACGAGAACTTAGTGAAATATGTACAAGCTTAAACAGCCGAATGGATCAAGCAGAAGAAAGGGTATCAGAGGTCGAAGATCAACTTAATGAAACAAAACAACAAGACAAGAATAGAGAAAAAAGGATAAAAAGGAATGAGCAAAGTCTCCAAGCAATATGGGACTATGTGAAAAGACCTAATATACGCTTGATTGGTGTACCTGAATGTGATGTAGAGAATGAATTCAAGCTGGAAAATACTCTCCAGGACATTTCCTAATTTAGCAAAGCAGGACACTATTCAACCCCAGGCAATACAGAGAACACCACAAAGATATTCCTCAAGAAGACCAACCCCAAGGCACATAATCGTCAGATTCACCAAGATCGAAACGAAGGAGAAAATATTAAGGGCAGCCAGAGAGAAAGATCAAGTTACCCATAAAGGTAAGCCTATTAGGCTTACAGCAGATCTCTCAACGGAAACCCTACAAGCTAGAAGAGAGTGGGGGCCAATATTCAATATACTTAATCAACAGAACTTTCAGCCCAGAATTTCATATCCTGCCAATTTAAGCTTTACATTTGAAGGAAAAATAAAATTTTTTAGGAACAAGCAAGTACTCAGAGATTTTATTACCACCAGGCCTGCTTTACAAGAACTTCTAAAAGAAGCACTATACACAGAAAGGAACAACCAGTATGACCCTTTCTAAAAATACACCAAAAAGTAAAGAGCATTAACATAAAGAAGAATTTTTATCAATGAAAGGACAAAATAGCCAGTTAATATCAAACGGCAGCAACCCTAAATTTAAATCGACCAAATCTCCCAATCAAAAGATACAGACAAAATCTAACGGTATATCCAAAGATATACATAGACTCAAAGTAAAGGGTTGGAAAAAAAAACATACCAACCAAATGGAGAGCAAAAATAAATAAATAAAAAGCAGGAGTTGCAATTTTCACATTTGACAAAATAGATTTCAAAGCTACAAGGATAAAAGGATTAATGTAATAATAAGAGATCTTAACACCCAGATACATAAGACCCATAATGAGATATAGATTCAACGAGACAGAAAATTGATAACGATATCCGGGACTGGAACTAAGATCCAGAACAAATAAACTCAATAGAGCTCTCCATTTTAAACACACAAAATATACATTATCCACAAAATCTAACGATATATCTAAAGATATACAAAGACTCAAAACAAGGGGATGGAAAAAAACTCACCAACCAAATGGAGAGCAAAAATAAATAAATAAAAAGCAGGAGTTGCAATTCTCACACTTAATAAAATAGATTTCAAAGCTACAAGGATGCAAGGGTAAAAGGATTAATGCAACAATAAGAGATCTTAACACCCAGATACATAAGACACATAATGAGATTTAGATTCAACGAGACAACAAATTGATAACGATATCCAGGACTTGAACTCAGAGTCAGAACAAATAAACACAATAGAGGTCTCCATTTTAAACACATAAAATATGCATTAACCACTTTAAACACTCAAAATATTGATCGGCCATTATTGAAACCCATTTTAGGAATGAAGTAATATTCCTTTTTCCCTCTTTTTCTTTTTTTCCCCTTCTTCTTCTCTTTTTCCCTCAAAAAAAAAAAAAAAAAATTTTTTTTGTATTTTTAATAGAGACTGGGTTTCACCATGTTGACCAGGATGGTCTCGATCTGTTGACCTCGTGATCCACCCGCCTCAGCCTCCCAAAGTGCTGGGGATTACAGGCATGAGCCACCACGCCCGGCTGAAATCTGATCTATTTTCTTAGGATTAGTTAAATGATACTGGTTGAGGAAAAAGCACAACATTGGGAAACAAAATATTACCACCAGAACTGTAAGTGTTTTCAGTTATTTTTTCCAAAAAAAAAAAAAAAAAAGAAACAGAAATACTATCTTTAATATATGCGCTTTAAAGCAATTATAGGATCTTTATATGTATTAAATAACATTGCTTATTAATATACAAAATACTCCTGAAAAAAATTTTAATTTTTTTTATGGTTTATTACCTCAGTTAACAATGTGATAGAATATGTTTTATTAACCGGTTAGACAGAGCCTGATATATTTGCTTAATTTAATTAAGTTTGTGTTTTCATCAAGGTACACTGAATAGTTCCTTCTCTTCAAGTGGTCTCACGTCTGAAACATGGCTACAGATTGGCTGGGAAGTATTGTGTCCATCAATTGTGGAGATAGCTTGGGTGTCTATCAGGGAAGAGTGTCAGCTGTGGATCAGGTCAGCCAGACCATCTCCCTCACCCGGCCTTTCCATAATGGAGTGAAGTGTCTTGTTCCAGAAGTCACCTTCAGGTGAGCGTGCTGACTGATTCTTCTAAATCCAACCTGGTAGTCTGTGGATGTTGAACCTAGATCTGATTGCCGATATTCTCTTGCATGTGGCTGCTTTTAAGTAGAGTCTTGCTAAGTGTGAGATTTTGGCAGTCTTAGATCTTACAGTCTACCTGCTGTTCCCAGCAGGGACTTTGTACTGTAATTAGCTCCCAGCCAGTGTTTCTTTTTTTTTAAATAAAGATGGGGGTTTCACCATGATGGCCAGGCTGGTCTTGAACTCCTGACCTCAAGTGATCCACGCACGTTGGCCTCCCAAAGTGCTAGGATTACAGGCCTGAGCCACCGCGCCCAGCCTAGTGTTTCTTATCCAGTGATTCTTATCTGTTCTCAGCCAATGATTCTTATCTTTGTTAAGCATGCAGTATTATGTAAATATGTCAAATCAGAATAACCTTTTTCTTTTATGGTTTTAGATGTTCTTTCTTGGTTTTGTATTTGTTTTCTCAATCTAAGGTCCTTATTGATTTTATTCCCATGCATAAATGTTTGTCTCTTTGTAGGTTCGTATTATGATTTATCCCCAGAAGCAGTTTGTAGCAAGTAGCTAAAGTCTTTCGTTATTGAAAAGTCTTTTTCTTAGTATTTACCAACAGATCTGAAATTCACTTATTTCTTCACATTCCTCTTTTCACCAGTTTGGCAGATAGCCTTCCATTCTTCTGTACAAATAAAAAAAAAATAGGCTGTCAGGCAAGAGCTTCCTTGGTTTTCTGAGCAATTCCCTTCCTACACATACCAGCATATATATTGCTTACCTGCTCTGCACTCTCTTCAGACGTTACCCGTCTGTTCAGGGCTGCCCTATGCTTGGAGGCTATCCCTTTCTACCTCCTTTGAGACCTTGCTCCATCTCTTCTGTGTTTTCCATTTCAACCTTTATGTTGCTTTGCTCCTTTTTTTTTTTTTCTTTTCTTTCTTTCCTTTCCTTTCTTTCTTTCAACAGAGTCTTGGTGTTGCCCAGGCTGGAGTGCAGTGGTGTGATCTTGGCTTACTGCAACCCCCGTTACTGGATTTCAAGCAATTCTCCTGCCTCAGCCTCCCAACCAAGTGCCACCATGCCCAACTAATTTTTGTATTTTAGTAGAGATGGGGTTTCACCGTGTTGGCCAGGCTGGTCGTGAACTCCTGGCCTCAAGTGATCTGCCTACCTCAGCCTCCCAAAGTGCTGGGATTATAGGTATGGGCCACCACAGCTTGCCTGTACTGCTTATTTCCTGATGCTCATTCCTTGGACTCCCCTGTATTAAAAACAACTCTCTCCTCAAGACCTTGCATTTGTCACTAGGGATTGTCATGTTGTTCCCCTTCCCTTTAACTCATAATCCTTGTCAGAGCCAAATAGTCTGCTTTCACTATCTTTTGTGGCTTCATTCTCTAGACCCTCCTTACCCTACTGTTATTTTTTTTTCTAACCTTATCATCTTGCTGAATTACCTTTTGCCAAGGTTACAAATAAGCTAATGGCCAAATTCACTGACAGTATCTCAATCCCAGTCTCATTCGAAGGCTCCCTGTTGGGTGCATTGGCTTATGCCTGTAATCCTAGCACTTTGGGAGGCCAAGGCAGGAGAATCACTTGAGGCCAGGATTTCAAAACTGACTGGTCAACATAGTGAGACCCCATCTCCACAAAAGAAAAATTTTAAAAATTAGCTGGGCGTGGTGGCATGTGCCTGTATAATCCTAGCTACTCCTGAGGCTGAGACAGGAGGATCACTTGAGCCTAGGAGTTGGAGGCTGCAGTGAGCCACGATAGCACCACTGCACTCTAGCATGGGTGACAGAACAAGACAGTCTCTAAAATAATAAAATGCTCCCTAACTTTTTTTTTTTTTTGAGACGGAATCTTGCTCTGTCGCCAGGCTGGAGTGCAGTGGCGCAATCTCAGCTCACTGCAACCTCCGCCTCTTGGGTTTAAGCGATTCTTCCGCCTCAGCCTCCCGAGCACTAGGTATTGTCAGGTGCGTACCACCACACCCGGCTAATTTTTGTATTTTTAGTAGAGACGGGGTTTCATCATGGCAAGGATGGTCTCGATCTCTTGACCTTGTGATCCTCCCGCCTCCGCCTCCCAAAGTGCTGGGATTACAGGCGTGAGCGCTCCCTAACTTTTAAAGTACCGTTTTTGAGTTTCTCTGTCACCTCTTTGGATTTTCTTTTTGTGTGTTTTACATATTCCTCTCTTCCTCCACTTTTTTGTTGTTGTTGTTTTATGTTCATTTTCTTCCACTCAACTCTTAAGATTGAACTACTCAGGGTTTATTATCTGTGGTTCTTTTCTCAGCTTTTATTCTCTAGACAATCTCATGTGTTCATTATACATTAATGAGACCTCACATCTTTGATTTAGACCCATTATGAGCCAAACACCTTGTCTGCTGGTCATTTCCTTTGGATATCCCACAAGATACCTTAAATTTAAGATTTTTGGAGCTAGTCTCATTATGTTTTCCTGTCGATTCCATTTTCCAAGGACATACCCATTATTTATGACTAATACGATCTTTCCCTCAGGTTAGAAACTTAGGAGTCATAATAAACTCTTCTTTTTCTTCAATCCTTGTGTTCAGTTGCCAGAATTCTATGGATTTGAAATGTCTCTTGATCCCTTCTCCCTTCTGCCTTTGCATTAGCACTTGCTTGGTTCATCCCCTCTTATTTCTTGCCTGGTCTTCTAACTGGTACCATTGCCTCTTGTTTCTTCTTCTTCCCTATAGCCACCAGGAAAATCCCTCGTGACCGTGTTGTGGTCCCTGGTTACCTCTGCAGCCTTACTTCCTCATGGCCTTCCACAGGCATCCTTCCCTTTAGGCTCACCATAACATTTGCAGTTCTTCACGTGGGCCATATTTTCTACATGTCCTCAGTCTCTGATTCCCTGCCTCAGATGCCTTTCTCCCTATTCTTTGCTTAGCCACTCATTCCCCCTGCCCCGGCCAGACTTAACTTAAGTATTGCATTCATCTCCACCAGACTAACTTAAATATTCTGCTTTTAGGCTCTCTAGTCTCCTGTGTACACCTCTGTCATAACATTTAACACTTAAAATTTTTTTGTGTCTTTTTTATTTGAGACAGAGTCTCATTTTGTTACCAAGGCTGGAGTGCAATGGTGTGCTCTCTGCTCACTGCAACCTCTGCCTCCCAGGGCAAAGTAATTCTCATGCCTCAGCCTCCTGGGTAGCTGGGATTACAGTTGCACACCACCACACCCAGCTAATCGTTTCTATTTTTAGTAGAGATGGGGTTTCACCATGTTGACCAGGCTGGTCTTGAACTCCTGGCCTCAAGTAATACTCCTGCCTTGACTTCCCAAAGTGCTGGGATTACAGGCATCAACCTTCATGCCCAGCCCATTTAAGACTTTTGATTGACTCCACAACCAGACTGAGTTCCTATGGGCGCATAGGGTTTTCATCTCTGTATTACCAGATCAAAATAGTTTCCAGTGCAGGGCTTACCATATAGTAAGTGTTTTATATATATGCCTGTTGAATGAGCAAGAGAGTGAATGAATGAAGGAAAGCCACTAAACATTGTGGGACTATAAGATTAATATAGTTTTGTTATTAGGAATAGCTTTGTTTTAAAGGCCAGCATTGTGTCAGTTGGATAGCTGGTGGCTGAGCCCTGTGCTTAAGCACACAACCCCCTTTGCTAGACTCCGATAACTCATTAAAATGCAGACCTGCAAAGGGGTAGCTGTTTGCTAATGATCCCAGTTTCATCATTCTTATCACTATTATAATTTTGAGACTTGGACTCTTTTGTGTATTTCAGGGCAGGTGACATTACGGAGTTAAAAATTCTGGAGATACCAGGACCTGGAGACAACCAACATTTTGGAGACCTTCATCAGACAGAATTAGGCCCCTCTGGTGTTGGCTGCCAAGTGGGCATCAATCAGAATGGCACAGGCAAGTTGGTCAAGAAGCCAGCGTCTTCCAGCAGTGCCCCTCAGAATATCCCTAAGAGAACAGATGTGAAGAGCCAAGATGCTGCCGTTTCCCCCCAGCAGCAACAGTGCTCAAAGAGCTACGTCGACAGGCACATGGAATCCTTGAGTCAATCCAAAAGTTTCCGTCGTCGACACAACTCCTGTAAGTAGGACCAAGTTGATATTTCTTCTCAATCTGGCCTCAGGGCTATAAGCTATAAACACTGCTGCTCTTTAAACCAACCCTTTATTACTCCAGTACAATGGATGCTGGCTAAGCTTCACAAAAATACAACGTGGTGCTCTCTTCCTCCAGGCCTAGTTCTTCAAGATGGTAAGGGAAGGGAAATAAGCTGTTAGAAATGCACATGAGCTTGCTGCCCTCTCTTACCACTTCCTTCAGGAAAAGTCTGCCCAGAGTTTACTGAGACTGACAGCAATGTTTTAAATCCAGTAACTATTGGGCGTGGTGGCTCACACCTATAATTTCAGCTGCTTGAGAGGTTGAGGCAGGAAGATTTTTTGAGCCCAGGAGTTCAAGACTAGTCTGGGCAAAATAGCAAGATTTCCTGTTCAAGAAAGAAAAAGAAAAAAAGCAAAACTTAAATCCCATAACTGATGTTGGTAGTAGTGTCTGAGTTGAACCTGCATGTGGGCTGTTCCAGAGGATTCTTGTTCCAGAGCTTGTGGTGTGACACCTGGCCAACATTTTAAGTTTTGGAGATGCCTGATTCAAGTGAATAAACAGCTAAATTTAAAAAAAAAAAAATTTTTTTTTTTTTTTTTGAGATGGAGTGTTGCTCTATTGCCCAGGCTCGAGTGTGGTGGCACAATATTGGCTCACTGCACCCTCCACCTCTCAGATGCAAGCGATTCTCCTGTGTCAGCCTCCCGAGGAGCTGGGATTATAGGCATGTGCTGCCATGCCCAGCTAATTTTTTTTTTTTTTTTTTTCTTGAAATGGAGTTTTGTTCTTGTTGCCCAGGCTGGAGTGCAATGGTGTGATCTCGGCTCACTGCAACCTCTGCCTCCCAGGTTCAGGTGATTCTCCTGTCTCAGCCTCCTGAGTAGTGGGGATTACAGGCATGTGTCACCATGCCCGGCTAATTTTGTGTTTTTAGTAGAGTTGGGGTTTCTCCATGTTGGTCAGGCTGGTCTTGAACTCCTGACCTCAGGTGATCCGCTGCCCTTGGCCTCCCAAAGTGCTGTGATTATAGGCATGAGCCACCGTGCCTGGCCGCCTGGCTAATTTTTGTATTTTTAGTAGAGATGGAGTTTTGCCATGTTTCCCAGGCTGGTCTCAAACTCCTGACCTCAAGTGATCCATCTGCCTTGGCCTCCCAAAGTGCTGGGATTAGAGGCATGAGCCACTGCACCTGGTCTAAAAAAAAATGTTTTAATTTATTTCAAGGTAGTTTCCTTTGGTGCATATGAAACAAGGATCTGAAATGACAGCGTTTGCAAATGTGAGACTGAAATTCAATTGTGACTTCTGTGTCCTTAGAAAAACTGTAAAATGCTTGGATAGAAAATGATTTTTTCCATTTAGACGGAACCTTCTCTATTTACTTTATTTATTTATTTTTGAGATAGAGTCTTGCTTTGTCACTCAGGCTGGAGTGCAATGATCACAGCTCACTGCAGCCTTGAAGGGGGCTCAAGCGATCCTCCCAGCTCAGCCTCCTGAGTAGCTGGGACTACAGGTTTGTGCCACTATGCTTGACTAGTTTTTTTATTTTAGTAGAGACAAGGTCTCACTATGTTGCCCCGTGTGAAAATCTTTTCTTCTTTACCAGACATTGTTGGTTTGTTAGAAGTTCAAATAGGCAGTTTATAATCTTCCATGCACTTGGAGATGACCCTTATTGGCAATTCACATTATTTTTTCCTACATATTTTCCCCCTATTATTAACATCTTACATTGATATGGTACATTTGTTACAATTAATGAACCAATGTTGATGCATTTTCATTAAACAAAGTCCACATTTTATTTTTTATTTATTTATTTTTTTATTGCATTTTAGGTTTTGGGGTACATGTGCAGAACATGCAAGCTAGTTGCATAGGTACACACGTGGCAGTGTGTTTTGCTGCCTTCCTCCCCTTCACCCACATTTGGCATTTCTCACCATGCTATCCCTCCCCAGCTCCCCCTCCCCACTGTCCCTCCCCATTCCCCCCAATAGACCCCAGTGTGTAGTGCTGCCCTCCCTGTGTCCATGTGTTCTCATTGTTCATCACCCGCCTATGAGTGAGAATATGCGGTATTTCATTTTCTGTTCTTGTGTCAGTTTGCTGAGAATGATGTTCTCCAGATTCATCCATGTCCCTACAAAGGACACGAACTCATCATTTTTGATTGCTGCATAATATTCCATGGTGTATATGTGCCACATTTTCCCAGTCCAGTTTATCATCGATGGGCATTTGGGTTGGTTCCAGGTCTTTGCTATTGTAAACAGTGCTGCAATGAACATTCATGTGCATGTGTCCTTATAGTAGAACGATTTATAGTCCTTTGGATATATACCCAGTAATGGGATTGCTGGGTCAAATGGAATTTCTATTTCTAGGTCCTTGAGGAATCGCCACACTGTCTTCCACAATGGTTGAACTAATTTACACTCCCACTAACAGTGTAAAAGTGTTTCTATTTCTCCACATCCTCTCCAGCATCTGTTGTCTCCAGATTTTTTAATGATCGCCATTCTAACTGGCGTGAGATGGTATCTCAATGTGGTTTTGATTTGCATCTAATGACCAGTGATGATGAGCATTTTTTCATATATTTGTTGGCCTCATGTATGTCTTCTTTTGTAAAGTGTCTTTTCATATCCTTTGCCCATTTTTGAATGGGCTTGTTTGTTTTTTTCTTGTAAATCTGTTTTAGTTCTTTGTAATTCTGGATATCAGCCCTTTGTCAGATGGGTAAACTGCAAACATTTTTTCCCGTTCTTTTGGTTGCCGATTCACTCTAGTGACTGTTTCTTTTGCTGTGCAGAAGCTGTGGAGTTTGATTAGGTCCCATTTGTCTATTTTGGCTTTTGTTGCCAGTTCTTTCGGTGTTTTGGTCATGAAATCCTTACCTACTCCTATGTCCTGAATGGTTTTGCCTAGATTTTCTTCTAGGGTTTTTATGGTGCCGGGTCTTATGTTTAATTCTTTAATCCATCTGGAGTTAATTTTAGTGTAAGGTGTCAGGAAGGTGTCTGCACATGGCTAGCCAGTTTTCCCAACACCATTTATTAAACAGGGAGTCCTTTCCCCATTGCTTGTTTTTGTCAGGTTTATCAAAGATTGTATGGTTGTAGATATGTTGTGTTGCCTGCGATGCCTCTGTTCTGTTCCATTGGTCTCTATCTCTGTTTTGGTACCAGTACCATGCTGTTTTGATTACTATAGCCTTGTAGTATAGTTTGAAGTCCAGTAGTGTGATGCCTCCTGCTGTGTTCTTTTTGCTTAGAATTGACTTGGCTATGCGGGCTCTCTTTTGGTTTCATATGAAGCTCAAGGTGGTTTTTTCCAGTTCTGTGAAGAAAGTCAATGGTAGCTTGATGGGGAAAGCGTTGAGTCTGTAAATTACTTTGGGCAGTATGGCCATTTTCACAATATTGATTCTTCCTAACCATGAACATGGAATGTTTCTCCATCTGTTTGTGTCCTCTCTTCTTTCGTTGAGCAGTGGTGTGTAGTTTTCCTTGAAGAGGTCCTTTACCTTCCCTGTTAGTTGTATTCCTAGGTATTTTATTCTCTTTGTAGCAATTGTGAATGGCAGTTCATTCTTGATTTGGCTCTCTTAAAGTCTGTTATTGGTGTATAGGAATGCTTGTGATTTTTGCACATTGATTTTATATCCTGAGACTGCTCAAGTTGCTTATCAGTTTCAGGAGTTTTTGGGCTGAGACGATAGGGTCTTCTAGATACACTATCATGTCGTCTACAAATAGAGACAATTTGACTTCCTCCTTTCCTATTTGAATACCCTTTATTTCTTTTTCTTGCCTGATTGCTGTGGCTAGAACTTCCAGTACTATATTGAATAGGAGTGGTGAGAGAGGGCATCCTTGTCTAGTGCCGGATTTCAAAGGGAATGCTTCCAGTTTTTGCCCATTCAGTATGATATTGGCTGTTGGTTTGTCGTAAATAGCTTTTGTTATTTTGAGATACGTTCCATCAATACCGAGTTTATTGAGGGTTTTTAGCATAAAGGGCTGTTGAATTTTATCAAAGGCCTTCTCTGCATCAATCGAGATAATTATGTGGTTTTTGTTTTTGGTTCTGTTTATGTGGTGAATTACGTTTATAGACTTGTGTATGTTGAACCAGCCTCATATCCCCGGGATGAATCCTACTTGATCATGATGGATAAGCTTTTTGATGTGCTGTTGCAATCGGCTTGCCAGTATTTTATTGAAGATTTTTGCATCTATGTTCATCATGGATATTGGCCTGAAATTTTCTTTTCTTGTTGAGTCTCTGCCGGGTTTTGGTATCAGGATGATGTTGGTCTCATAAAATGATTTGGGAAGGATTCCCTCTTTTTGGATTATTTGGAATAGTTTCAGAAGGAATAGTACCAGCTCCTCTTTGTGTGTCTGGTAGAATTCGGCTGTGAACCCATCTGGACCTGGGCTTTTTTTGTGTGGTAGGCTCTTAATTGCTGCCTCAACTTCAGACCTTGTTATTGGTCTATTCATAGTTTCGGCTTCCTCCTGGTTTAGGCTTGGGAGGACACAAGTGTCCAGGAATTTATCCATTTCTTCCAGGTTTACTAGTTTATGTGCATAGAGTTGTTTGTAATATTCTCTGATGATGGTTTGAATTTCTGTGGAATCTGTGGTGATTTCCCCTTTATCGTTTTTTATTGCATCTATTTGGTTATTCTCTCTTTTCTTTTTTATCAGTCTGGCTAGTGGTCTGTCTATTTTGTTGATCTTTTCAAAAAACCAGCTCTTGGATTTATTGATTTTTTGAAGGGTTTTTTATGTCTCTATCTCCTTCAGTTCTGCTCTGATCTTAGTTATTTCTTGTCTTCTGCTAGGTTTTGAGTTTTTTTGATCTTGCTTTTCTAGCTCTTTCAATTTTGACGATAGAGTGTCAATTTTGGATCTCTCCACTCTTCTCATGTGGGCACTTATTGCTATATATTTTCCTCTAGA